ATGTCGTTAATATTTCAAAAGTACTGCATAAATTTAATTACATACATGTAATTTACAAAATTACTTATAATTGTTTGAGCGGTCAATTAATTGGAGAACGGTCGGTCATTTATTGGGTTTTTTCGGTCAATAATTGGTGATTTTGGTATTTCAAGATTCAAATAACAAAATTAATATAATTTTGTTAATTTTTATTATAAATTAATATTAATTATTATTAATTAAGTATTTAACTTTAGTAAAATCCATTACAAATTGTTTTTAGTAGATTAATAGATTTTTTATAGCTTAGTATAGAAAAAGAAAACCTTAATCGGTTAATAATTGGTGCATTTACCCTATATGCAATTTTGGGAAATGAAAATATTTAATGTGAATGTGTATTATGAATAATTTTTGTATTGTATTGAATTAAATATTCAAGCATTTAAATAAAAAAATTGTTCATAATTATACTGTAATATTTTCAAGTTTGAAATTTTAATATTAACCTAGACCTTGAACCTAAATGTTAACAATATATGTAGTATTTAATTCAAGGAATAAAGTGTTATAGCTTAAATAATTTTCTTAGTATAAAAAATTTGTGGCCCTGAAAAGGACCGTTTGGTTTGAAAAAAAAAGTTATTGTTGAGAATTAAGCACGTTCTCCTCGGATACGGCGAGCCAACTGGATGTCCTTGGGCATAATGGTGACACGCTTGGCGTGGATAGCGCAAAGGTTGGTGTCTTCAAAGAGACCGACGAGGTAAGCCTCACTGGCTTCTTGAAGGGCCATCACAGCAGAGCTTTGGAATCTCAAGTCAGTTTTGAAGTCCTGGGCGATTTCACGGACGAGACGTTGGAACGGCAATTTACGGATCAACAGCTCGGTACTCTTTTGGTAACGACGGATCTCACGAAGAGCGACAGTACCTGGACGGTAACGATGAGGCTTCTTGACTCCTCCGGTGGCTGGCGCGCTCTTACGGGCAGCCTTGGTAGCCAGTTGTTTGCGTGGAGCTTTACCACCAGTGGACTTGCGAGCGGTTTGCTTGGTTCTTGCCATTGCAACTTAGCGAACTTTACACTTTACTATTCAGAAAGAAAGCAAAAGTTAAACAGGTGCCTTCGCTCGCAAACGGCTCCTTTTTGTCAACTCTGGAACAATGTGCCACCTCGTGGGAGAATTTTCGTGACTTTGGTGGGAGAAAGTTGAAATTCTAGCGATTTGATTGGTTCAGAGTAAAAAAGAGGGGGGGATGAAATTGTAGAGGGTATTGTTCAGTCCTAAAGACTGATCTGATTGGTTGAAAGAAAAAAGTGAGTAGTGGGGGTAAAAAAAATTTTAGTGGAAGGAGTAAGTCCACAAAAGAGTATAAATATATCGACTTGAACTTGCGGGACGCAAACTCGCCAGTGTTCTTGCCTAAGTGACATTGTGCTAACTCTTAATTAACCAACATGACTGGTCGCGGTAAGGGAGGAAAAGGATTGGGGAAAGGAGGAGCCAAGCGCCATCGTAAAGTACTTCGTGATAACATCCAAGGTATCACCAAGCCAGCTATCCGTCGTCTGGCCCGTCGTGGTGGAGTCAAGCGTATCTCCGGATTGATCTATGAAGAGACTCGTGGTGTTCTCAAGGTCTTTCTTGAGAACGTCATCCGTGATGCCGTCACCTACACCGAGCACGCTAAGCGTAAAACTGTCACCGCCATGGATGTTGTCTACGCTCTGAAACGTCAAGGTCGTACTCTCTACGGTTTTGGAGGTTAATTTATTCGTCCCATCTTTTTCCAACAAATTAAAACAAAACGGCCCTTTTCAGGGCCACCACATTTTTCACACTAAGAAAATTATCCTGTTTATAATTTATAATCATTTTACTTGATTAATTATAATTGAATATTTCTAATTCTAAAACTGATTTAATGTGATTACATTACATAGTTGTTATTGTTATTTTTAAACGTATCATGCAGGTTTTTCCTTTGTAAACTTTTTCTGTAAAATCTATTAACTGAATTATACTGTTTGTAAACTATATTAATACTGTAAACTATATTTTTCATTTAAAAAATATTTTTATTTTTGAATCTGTATTACATGAGTAAGTTACATGAGAATACCTTAAAAATACTTGTTTCTATCCGTGGATTCTAACAAATGTTTGTATTATTAAAATACATTTTTGTATTTTTTAGATTATTTGGAATTGAATTTGTGGGAAAAGTTTAAAAAACCACTTGAATTTTAAAGCCATAGGCTTACTTACAAGCTAAACTTAAGACTAGTTAACAATATGTACAAAATACAGTGAAACCTAGATAAGTGAGAAACCTCTGTAAGCGAGACTTTTTCTCAGGTCCCGGTACCTCTGCACTGAAAAACCTCTTTTAGTGATATTGATGAACCTTTATAAGTGAGACATTTTTTCAGGACTTACTAGTTCTTTTCTCTCGTATTTGAAACTATTTATCCCATATTGTATTGGCAACATTCTTTTAGTATGCGTTTTTTATAGAAAAGAAGTCGTTCATCATATTGTGACATTTATAGAAGACAATGTAAGCGCTGGAATAAACATTTTACAAGCTATGAGATTCGCTAGAAAAGCTTGGTTTTCTGTCAGTAAGACTACAATCGCAAATTGTTTTAAAAAATCAGGTTTCAAGTTACATGCGTTTGATTCACAAGGTATAATGAAAAAGAAAAAGAAACAACTACAATTAGTGACGATGTTTGGGCTCAAGTAATAAATGATGACAACCAGCAACTGCAATTCAACGAATATGTCAATATTGATGAGGATGTAATGACTTCAGGGGAATTGACCGATAATGATATCGTTTCTGCTGCAATCTCATGTATAGAAACAGAAGAGGAAGAAGAAGAAGCACCAGTTGAGAAAGTATACAAATCTGACACGGAAAAAGCATTGTGGACATTGCATAAATATTTTGAATTTTCCAATATTAATGATAAAACTATTTTTGACAAATTAAATAATTTGCCATTGAAAAATTGTTGACTGCTGATTGTAACTTAAAGCAAACTAAAATGATCGAATTTTATAAGTGAATTACTGTATTTCATATTGTATTATTTCATATTCTATTATACAGTATAGTAATGTATATTCTCTATTTCTATTTATTATTCTCTGACCTTGTCTATCTAAGTTTCTCTCTCTGTATGAGAAACTCGGGTAAGTGAGAAACCTCTATAAGTGAGAAAAAAAATCTTAGTCCCTTCAAGTCTCACTTATACAGGCTTCACTGTATACAAAATTTACAAAGTTATGATGGTTTGTTTTAGTCTAAGAGTATACTATGAGGTAGTTTATACTTGAGTTTAAATGGAGCGGTGTTATTATTGTATATTCCAATGTTTTTTAGTTCTTCTAGGTGTTTAGTTCTTTGTTCATAGAATATTTTAGTTTGATTAAATATATCACAATATATTTCATTAATATTAAGATTTTCTCTTATAGTTTTATTCGATATGTCCGAACTTACATTGCTTATCATTCTTAAAATTTTATTTTCAACCGTCTTAATTTTATTAATGTTAGTCTTAAATGTATTGCTCCATATTGGAAATCTATAAAGTAATACAGGTTTTATCAACATTTTATATAGAATAAGTTTATTTTTAATACTTAATTTACTTTTAGTTGAGATCAGCGGGTATAAGATACCTTTGATTTGGTTTGCTTTTTGACAAACTTTTATAATATGACTAGTAAATGTAAGTTTGTCCTCGAGCAATAATCCTAAATATTTAACGCATTTACTAGGTTCAATAATAGTATCATTTAATTTAATGACTAGGTCTTATTCTGTCTTTTTTAATTTTACTTTTTTGCTAAAGATAATAAGTTCTGTCTTCTGTAAACTATATATAATGTAAGTTAGCCAAATAGACATGGTAATGTAAGTGTTGACAATATTGCATATATGCAAAAAATATCGAAAGAGAAAAATAAATAACTAAAAAAATAAATCAATAAATATTAAAAAAAATATAGTCGCAGCTAGTTTTTTATGTAGTATATCAATAATGAAATTGATAGATACGGTACATGATAAACAAATCTCTTGCAGATTTTCTCAGATGTGCTATAGTTGATGCTGTTTACTATATTATCCGCTTTAATTCAATTTTATAATAATTTATGCATATTCAATTAATTTATAATTTAGAAAGCTTCTCAGTAATAATCAAATTTTTTATAATAATTTATTTATTTTAGTCGACATTAATTTTCAATTTATTTTCACCGTTAATCTAATACTACAAATTGACCGAAAATATAAAGTTTAACTAATTAATTAATATAAATTTGTTCGGTCAAATTTAATAAAACTCAATTATTTCTGCTAAACTATCGATTTAATAGAATAATCGAATAATTGATGTATAGTATATGCAACTTATAATAATGATAATGAGGTTTTATATTATAGTTATTACAATCGATTACTAAAAATTTCACCAAAAATAAATTTTGACATCAAAAAATGAACATTTATTCAATAAATTAAAAAAAAAAATCGGTTTATTTTACTGACGTTAAAATAAATTGAATTCTAATTTATTTTGTTTAAAATATTTAAAGCTTATTGTAAAATAATTGATGTCTAAAATTTGATTTTTTTCTTATCAATCAAAATCCGTGATAAATAATTAATTGTAAAGTAATTGATAAGTTCGATATTTTTAATAAAATTTGAAGGTATTTTAGGAATGAAATATTAGGTTGATGTAAAAACAGATTTAAAATTTTTGTTCAGTCAATAATAATAATATTAATAATTATAATCAATAAAAATTTTTAAAATGAATACAAGTTTAAAATTAAAATAAATGAAACTATCAATTTAAATTTTCTTCTCTTACTACTTAGCAAATGTATTTTTTAAAATCGAATAAAATTATTTTTTAATGTTGTTAATATCATTTTTTAAAACAATAAGATGATTAATTATTACGAAAAATTTTAAAATTTGTCCAAAAAATTATTTAAAAATATAATTAGTATAACTTATTGAAAAAGTTAAAATTTCTTCGACATTTAAAATATGTATCTTCAATTAACATAGGAAAGAATAAGTGTTTAAATATAAATTAATATAAAATAAATATTTTAACAATTATACACGCTACCAATTGCAAAAAGATGTCTCACAGATCATCTCATTTAGATTTTTTTTTTTACCTAATATTATTAAGGCAAAAGCCCTAGTACCTGTTCAGTAACCAGTACCTGCTCACTCCTATTCACAAATGCAGGTATATTAATACATGGAGTGAGCAGGTATTGGTTTCTGAGTAGCTACTGAGTACTTTACTTTATTAATATTGAAATTGAAAAATGTAACTGGAAAAAACAGTAATATTCAATAAAATACAAGTAAGGTAAAAGATCCAGTTATTGATACTTGCAATTTTATTTTAATTAAAAAAAATAAATCAATTCTAATAAATTAATAAATATAATTTTTGAACTATAAATTTTAAGATAATTAATTTTTAGAGAACATATTTTTAATAATAAAATTGCAAATGTCAAACTAGACCAGTGTCAATAATTGAATCTTTTATTTCAATAAAAAAAAAATTTAATATAACTTATGCACAGATTAGCGGTCACAGGGAGAAGTAGTTTTATGGTAAAAAAATATTTTTCAATTAAATTAAATTTATATAAATAAATTAAATTAATTATAAAAAAATAAAACGTAGGCTAAGGTAAACATTAATATGATGTAAATGAAATTTGAAAGTATTGTACGTATTGAAAAATTTGGTGGCCCTGAAAAGGGCCGTTTTTTTTTTTTAATGTCAGATGATCAAATAAAAAGATGTTAATCAATTTATTTCTTGGCAGCGACTTTCTTAGCGGGAGATTTCGCGGCTTTAGCAGTGACCTTCTTGGGCTTCGGAGACTTGGGCTTAGCTGTTGGTGCCTTGGTAGCCTTCTTAGCCTTGGGAGAAGCAGAAGCTTTCGGTTTAGCTGGAGCTTTGGCAGCAGGCTTCTTGGATGAAGCTGGTTTCTTCACAGCAGCTTTTTTGGCTCCAGCAGCTTTCTTCACCGGAGACTTAGGCTCGCCAGGAGTCTTCTTGGGTGAAGCTGGTTTCTTCACTGCAGCTTTCTTGGACGCGACTTTCTTCTCACCAGAAGCGGCCTTGGGCTTCGGCTTGGCAGCAGCCTTGGAGGTGGCAAGCTTGAAGGACCCAGAGGCTCCTTTTCCTTTGGTCTGGACCAAAGTTCCCTTGGTGACAGCGGACTTGAGGAACTTCTTGATGAACTGAGCCTGCTTCTCAACATCAACTTTGTAAGTTGAAGCTATGTACTTCTTGATGGCTTGAAGTGAAGAGCCGTGACGATCAGCGAGGTGTTTGATAGCTGCGGTGACCATGTCAGAGGTGCTGGGATGAGTCGCCTTGGCTGCTGGTTTTTTAGCCTTGACTTCCTTCGCCTTCTTCGGAGAGTCGGTCTTCGCGACGATCTTCTCTTCAGCTGGAGCAACTTCGGTGTCAGTCATCTTGACGATTGAGCGAATTAAAGTTTTTTAATTTACGATTTAAGTAGTTTTAATAACGACCGTTATCAAATGATGGCGCTGACACTGTCTCGCGGTGGGTACCGCGCTTCGCGCGGACCGCGAAGAGAGACTGCTCTACTTGTTACCTAAATCTTGTCGACAAATTCTACGCACTGGTGTTCGAACATATTTTTTATAAAATGTTTTTTAACAATATTTCTCAGAATTTATTAAAAAAAATTATTTCTTCTTTATTAAAAATGTTTGAAAATTACTTTAAAAAAATTTTTTATACAAAAAATTCAGATCTACTTACTTTTATTCGCGTTTTTTCAAGACACTACGGCGCAGAAAGCCATATATGTATCGACATTATTGTTAATAAATAATTAAATAATTGTTTTCTTCTTGAAGAAATAATTTTTTACGACTCTTTAATGTTCATTGCTTCTATTTCAATTGAAATATTAATTAAATAATTGTTTATTTTTAATATATGCCCGTTTTTATTCAGGTCGCTCAAGCAAACTCGTGGATTTTTGCCAGTTTTGCATCGTTATAACAAATTATTCCTTTTTAATAGTGAAAAGTATCATCAATAATTTTAATAATTTTTTTAATCATTAAAATCTAAAAATTATCACTGAAAAAACTGCAATTACTGTTGAAGATTCTTTTACAATGATATGCGTCTCTTTTAGGCGGTCTGGCGCGCTAACAGACGCTACTTTTGTATTTAGCGAAATTCATTGATGTAATTTTGAATATAAATAAGTAGATATTTTTTTTATTTATTAAATAATGAGTTTTTAATGTTTTCTTATTTTTAAGAATTCACTAAAAATAGCTTATTTTATTCTGTAATTAAATTTACTTATTTTCTGGTGGAAAATATTGATAATTGGTTAGTTTTACGGTAATCTGATTTTATTAAAATGAAAGTAGAGAAATAAAAATTTTTAAACTATTTTTTTATTATATTTTACAGTGGATTTACGATTATTATAATGAAAATAAGTATTTGTAATTTAATTCAAAGCTTTTTATGTTAACAAAAATTTTATAACGACAAAAAAATGTTTGTAAAGTATTTCTAGAAAAACTTTGTTGACTTTTTTGATATTTTATGTTTAAATACAAATAATTTGAATAGAATTTATTATAAATTTTTATATTTTTTTATCTAAGAAATGATTTTTTTGAAAATTGATTCTAATTTTTATGATATTCAAGAAAAAAGTATGTGATTGATAAAAAAAAACTCTAAATTCTATTTCAATGGATTAAAAAGTGATGCTAAAAAATTATCAAAGGAAACTAAACAGTTAAAATTCCTAAAATTTATTATCAATTTCAAATAATCTCCACAAATAATTTTTTTTATAAAATAAACATCATAAATAATTTCTTCACTACAAAAAATCATTTTAAAATAATTTGTAATTTTATAATAATTCACATATTTTAAAGTATCGTATTTTATCTGAATTTATTGAATCCAATTGCATTTTTTATAAAAATTTTTGCCTTCATAATAAAAAACATGTAAAAAAAATTTAATTAATTAATTTATTTATTTATTTATTTATTTATTTATGTAAGAAATGCATGAATAAAGAAATTTAAAAAACCGTTAAATTTTTATTCCATACTACATATTTATCTTAGATTTTTGTGCGCACATAACAATACACAAGACCCGTAACGGCGTAGAAATCATTCGTTAGAGTGGGGAACGAGCCCAACGTTTTTAACGGACATTCGATCTTTACATTTATTATGAGAAAAAAAAATGTAAAAATACAAACTGCTTCATTTTAGAATAAATCTTAAAATTTCTTCCTAGAAATTTCTGACCTTTAAAATAATTTTTTTTTTTTTCGATCATATTTCAACCCTTTCTAGAGGATTAATAACAACTAAATATTTTTTTTTTCTCTACAACTGTAACTTTTTTTAAACCCAATTTTCAGCCTTTAACCGTCAGCAAGCGTGCTATGAGATTTTTCTAAAGCATCCATATTCAATGCATAGGATATCGCTGGAGTGCAAATGAGACACTAAAAAACATGTGAATGCTGAAGGGTTAAATGCTTGTAACAAATGACAATACGGTCAAAAAATGTCGGGATTAAGAAAAAGTAAAAAAAGCATACCTTACACCTTCGAAAGCATGACTTTATTAACGAATATTGAAAAAAATTATCTTCTCGACCGTTACGGCTTTAGTGGAGGAAAATACGATACAGCAATTGCAGAATTTCGTGCTAAATATGGAGCTACAAAGATAACCAGCGACCAAGATCTAAAAAAGTAAAATTCAAATTTTTTTATTTATAGCATATAAATATTTATTATAATTTTTTTAGAGTATATTGTGTTTTTTTGATTATTTTGTAGAATTATTGACGATTTTTATCAGTGTGAACGTGTCGAGGATTCTTCAGATGATAATGAAGATTATCGTTAATTCGATTCTTATTATTCAGTTACTTGAACGAACAAAAAGTATGAAGTTTTATATTTAAATTGCCATTATTATTAATAATGATTTAAATCTTCTATGGAGTGAAGACAAAAGCTTTTCAATAAAATGAAATTTTTTTTAAATAAATAATTATTTTCCTAATAAGGTATTTTTAATCAATGACGACTTTAATTAATAAAATTTTTGCTTTTTAGACTACAATAATTGTAAAAACTTACCAAAATTATGACATGGTCGTGAAATTCAAACGAGAACTCGGTAAATAAAGATATTTGTAACTATAAGGCTTATTTTTGTTTCATTTTAAAAATCTCTTTATATTTTACATCCTAAAGTTTAGGTTATTGTGTACATTATATTTCATTTTTTCCGTTTAATTAAAGCCGGTTTTAATTGTTAATTTTATAATTATTATTTTTTTCTTCATAAGTATATTTTTTTTTTTTTTTTCATACTTTATTAATGTTGAATCAAAAAAATTACATGACACTTAACATTAAACCAACAGACATCTGACAATTTTTTAGATTTTTATAACAATCAAATTATTATATAAAAAATTAAGTAAAAAAATTATCCATGTGAAAATTTTTTTTTTAATCATAATTGATTTGTTATAAAAATTAATATTAATTCGATGACTCAAAAATTTGATTAATAATCAAATGAACTATTTTTCGTTTTGAAATATATTGAAACAATACAAATATACACTAAATGAAGTTAATATGTCAAATACTTAATTGACTACGTAAAAAATATATATGATACAAAAACTAATTATCTATCCTGCAGGTCAGTTCTATGATAACTTAAGTTTATTTACTATCACCTATTTAATAAGATTAAACTCTTTCACTCTTACTAATTGTCGTAATAGAAAATAACAGGACTGTTGGTTTAGGTCATAGTAGGTAAAAATTTAAACACTCATGTCAAAATTGCAGCTGTGACGTCGCCCTTCTTTCTAAGAGCCGTAATACCCGTAATGACCATTCCACAGGTATAATTTCAAATAATTAAAGTGAATAATATTCAAATTTTTTTTACAATACTGAATTTAACAGACCATACAATTTTTTGGATTTTTATAATAATTAAATTATTGTGAAAAAAATCCCACATGTAAAAATTTTAAATAAGTGTGAATTTTTTTTATAATAATTGATTGTTGAAAAAAATTCCCAGAGTTGTCCGATCTCTGCTAATTTCAGTATTATATTTTTTTTTTGTTTTTTTGGGACAAAAACTCATTAGTTCAAGTATTTTATCATAAAGTAATTAAATGTTGCTTATAATCTTATACAGTGAAACCTGTATAAGTGAGACTTGAAGGGACTAAGATTTTTTTTCTCACTTATAGAGGTTTCTCACTTACCCGAGTTTCTCATACAGAGAGAGAAACTTAGATAGACAACGTCAGAGAATAATAAATAGAAATAGAGAATATACATTACTATACTGTATAATAGAATATGAAATAATACAATATGAAATACAGTAATTCACTTATAAAATTCGGTCATTTTAGTTTGCTTTAAGTTACAATCAGCAGTCAACAATTTTTCAATGGCAAATTATTTAATTTGTCAAAAATAGTTTTATCATTAATATTGGAAAATTCAAAATATTTATGCAATGTCCACAATGCTTTTTCCGCGTCAGATTTGTATACTTTCTCAACTGGTGCTTCTTCTTCTTCCTCTTCTGTTTCTATACATGAGATTGCAGCAGAAACGATATCATTATCGGTCAATTCCCCTGAAGTCATTACATCCTCATCAATATTGACATATTCGTTGAATTGCAGTTGCTGGTTGTCATCATTTATTACTTGAGCCCAAACATCGTCACTAATTGTAGTTGTTTCTTTTTCTTTTTCATTATACCTTGTGAATCAAACGCATGTAACTTGAAATCTGATTTTTTAAAACAATTTGCGATTGTAGTCTTACTGACAGAAAACCAAGCTTTTCTAGCGAATCTCATAGCTTGTAAAATGTTTATTCCAGCGCTTACATTGTCTTCTATAAATGTCACAATATGATGAACGACTTCTTTTCTATAAAAAACGCATACTAAAAGAATGTTGCCAATACAATATGGGATAAATAGTTTCAAATACGAGAGAAAAGAACTAGTAAGTCCTGAAAAAATGTCTCACTTATAAAGGTTCATCAATATCACTAAAAGAGGTTTTTCAGTGCAGAGGTACCGGGACCTGAGAAAAAGTCTTGCTTACAGAGGTTTCTCACTTATCCAGGTCCCACTTATCTAGGTTTCACTGTATTTTGAATTATCTACAATAAAAAAATGAATTTTTATTTTTGCAAAATTATTAAAATTTTTTAAATTCTTAATTTTGCTGAAGAAAATTAGTAATTTGCTTGTTACATATTATGCTTACTTGTAATAAATAGAACCGGGATTTTTGCCTTAATTTAAAAATACCAATTAATAATTAACGGTGTCAAATTTATGATATTACGGCGGAAATATCGGTCGTATTAAAAATTTTTTCAAGTAAAAATTGTTCAAAATTTAATTTTATAAAAAAAGTCTCTTATAATTTTTTTTAAGACCAATAAAAAAGCCGCAATTTTAAAATTGAGATTTTATAATTAACAAAAGTTTGGATCATATATTATGAATCTTAATTGAGGAATTACGGTGAAAACATTTGAAAAATAATGAGAGAAAATTTATAAAAAATTTCAACAACTTTTTTATAAAAATTTTTTTTACAAAACTAATATTTTCAGCAAAAATCTTGGTCCTAGTAATAAATTACTTAAATTAAAAAACCTGAAAATACATGCGTAGAAAAATTTACAAAACTTGAGGTATAATTTTTCAATATATTTTGTGTTGCATTTAATCATTTTGAAAAAAAATCCTATTAAATGTTGTCTAACTTGACCTTAAAAATTGAAAAAAAAAAACCTAACAAATCAATAAAACTATAATCTAATTATTCCGTCGAATTTCTATGATGCGTATCAATATTTTTTGCTCATAGAATAAGTAAGTAAAGTAAATGATACACAAAAAACTTGTATTGGATATAATGACTCGGAAGTACTTGGTTTGTAGTAGGGGAAAATCCGAGTTTGTGGTAAAAAGTCGAACATTCCCGACTTGTTATTACTTAGTGTTAAAAAAATGTAAACAGTGTCTTCCTAATACAATAGTAGTAAAGTATTTTTCACCAATAAATGACCAACTATTAAATGTAACTTTTCTATCTATAATAACTCTTATCAAATGAGAGATAAGCAATAGTAAAAACTTTTTATTAAATAAAATCACTCAGCGATAAGTTATACGTAATAGAATTAAATAATATAACCTAGCGCTTTTATTAATGAAAAAATTAAACAATGGATCGTTCACGAAAGCGTAAGTCATTATTATTATTATAATTAATTTAAATAAATAATTATATATTTGTTAATAATGATACTGAAATTAACATACATCTGAAAATTTTCTTTATTTTTTATGACAGAAATTTTTTAATAATTTTATAGCAATTAAATTATATTGTAAAAAAAAATTTCACATGTGAAAATTAAGAAAAATAACTAGTGAAAATTTTTAGAAATATTTTTTTTATTGTAATTGATTTGTTATAACAATTAAAAAAAAAAAGTGACAGCTGTCAGCTGACTTTAGTATCATTATTTTTATTATAAATTAATTATGATAAAAAAAATATTTTTTAAAAATTCCCACTTATATATAATTTTTTTCAATCTCTAAACGTGGAATTTTTTTGATACTGAATTTAACAAACATTTAACAATTTTTTAGATTTTTTTTACAATAAAATTATAGTGAAAAAAATTTAGAAAAAAAATTTCACACGTAGAACTTAAAAAAATTTTTAAAAATATTTTTTTTATAATCATTGACGGCGTATTACCTGACACACCACGAAAGAATTCACCGCATATACTAGATGTCTTAAAAACTTAAACATTAATTAATTCTTTAATGATATATTAGTCTGCTTAAAATAAATAATAATCGTATTAATTAAAAATTTCTTGAGATGTATTATTTGACTCAATTTAGTGAGTATCTATATTTGAATATGTATATGTAAAAAATGTATATGAACTCCTGCTAAGAGGAAGGAAACTTCCTGAGAAGGCAAACTTGAAATAAATAAATAATCATTGATTTGTTATGAAAATTTCAAGAAATTTCATATGTCTGCCATTAAAATTTTTTCACAATAATTTAGTAGTTATAAAAATTGAAAGATGTCTGTTAATTTCAGTATCAACTATTAATAATACAAATTAATTTTACAGACAATCATTTAGACATATCAGAAAGTGGAACGTATGCGTACTTGTCAATCTGTTCTATTTCTCTATCAGAGCTGTTTCCTGGTGAATGGAACCACGAATTCAACATAAAATACATAAAAGGTCTGTGCGAGCACCTGAAAGCTCCTGAAAAAGTATCAGCTGTGATGCTGGTTTTGGTTGACGGTAATTCTGGACATACGGTTGAGCCTTACATTGAACTTTTACTCCAAGAACCAAATTTAAATAAAAAGCCTATTCTGATTGTCCAAGATGCTGTACTTTATGCTGTACAATGTGGTAAGGATGAATAATCAAACGATCTATTTATATGCTTTATAATTTATCATTAATTAAAATTAAAATTAATGTAATTACTATTCATAATGAATACGACTTCCAGGAATGATATCAGGTACAAGTTAAAAATTATGTAGCTGTCACGAAAAACTGTCATTTAAAATATTGATCTTTATTCCAGGTGAATATGACGCACGACAGAGAGTCCTTGCTCGTCGATTAGCGGAATTATTAAATGTTCCATTTGATTTGATAGAGCTGTATGAACATTCGTTGGTTGAATTATTGAGTAAAGATGATAACGATCGTGCTGAGTAAGTTTAATCAATTATTTTTAGTATTTTAAATCAATAAAGTATACGGTTTGATTTTCTGTATAACATGAAAAGAAGAAAAATGTTGGAATTACATGACAATTTATGTTAAAAAAATTTTTAGCCTTTTGTAGTAATATCGATTGGAATAAAATCTACGAAATTATTGTATTGATTTACAATATAAATATTTTAAAAGCTTTTTCTTCAATATACTGTAGGGCATATTAATAAATTTTTAATGAAATTTCATTACTTTTTTTTTTTATATGCTCATGAGTGTATTAAAGGGTCATTCTGGTTTTAGTGCTAGAAAAAAGCCAATATTCATGATTTTTTATATAAAAATTATTATAGATATTAATATAAAATTGATTCAGCTCAACAAATACACTCTTGAATAATACAAAAATATCTGAATTTATTTTTTTTTTTATTTTATTTTTTATATGAATAAACAACGGAGCGGCCCCAAAATTCGGTATGCCGCTGAGGTACATGATAACTTGATAACAGCTCATCTTCTAAAACACAAAAACCAAAATTATTTACCTTCAATATATAAGTAGTTATTGCATCTGCTGCTGAGATTTATTTATAAATAATAAAATGGCTGAGATTTAAAAAAAAAATAAATATAAGGCTTTTTTTTACAGTTTTTAGTCTTAAAAAATTAGTAAAAATTAATATTTTCATTCGGTTGTTGCTGATGTAATAACTACTCCTATATACAATATGTGGTTTAAATTTTATTAAGATCGAGTCAGTCGTTCCAGAGTTATCATGTACCGACAAAAAGTTTCCGGACAAGATGAAAATTTATTAAAAGTAAAATAAATTAAGAAGAAAGTCAATGGCACGATCGTACACACTTTGTAAAATAAAATAACATTTTTTTTATAGATCAAGTTAATTTGTTTACGTATCATATTTAAATTAAAAAGTAAACAAGAAAGTTGTCCGGAAATTTTCCATCGGTACTGTACGTCAACCAGAAATACATAATTCTGAGATAAACAAGTTTAAAGTTTTTTTTAATAAAAAAAAAAAATTTTACTTGAAGTTAATCAGTGATGCCGGCACAAACATTGTAAAATAATATCGTTATAGTGGTTTTTTTAGCTTTTAAAATTCTCTTTATTTATCAGTTAAATTGGCATACATGGTTGTAGGTAGATATTTTTATTTTTGTATTAAAAATAGTTCCTTACTCTAATTAGAGCTATAACAGATTGGTTATGTATATTTATTTGTTTTAATACTAGTATTTGTTTAGATGGTATAATAATATTTTTCGTGGTAAAATTTAAAAAAATCCACTTGACAGTTCATTATAGTGGTCCGATCACTTGGAAATTTGAACACAATTTTTTTATATGTGTACTTTTGAAGAATGTAAAAAAAAATTTTTTTAAAATTACAAACCAGAATGATCCCTTAATTTAAAGAATTTTTAACGTTATATACTTTTTTTAAATATATCGTAGAGTAAAAAAATATTAACGATTATTAATAACTTTTTATTAATTTATAAAATTCTCTTCAATTTACCAGAGCAAAATCATGTTTTTATAAAAATATAACATCAAATTTTTCTATTTAATTTAACTATCAATTAACAGAGTTTAATTTAATCCAAACTTAGTATTTTTCTTCGTAATAATTTCAAAATACAATATTTTATCAATACTTATACACTGAAAAAAAAAAATTAACTTGATTCAAGAGAAAAATTTTTGAACCAAAAAAATAATTTTGAAGAGTTTCATTGTCTTGAATCAAGACGAAAAATTCTTGAATCAAGTAAAATTTACTTAAACCAAGAAAAATTTCTTAGCTTAAAAATTTTTCTACTCAAATCAAGAAGATAAAATTCTTCAAAATTATTTACTTGATTCAATTAAATTTTTTTTTCTGTGTACTAATACCAATTAAATCAACAGGGAAAAAGACGCAGAATCAAAGAAACGGGACAAAATACGTAAAATAAAACGGTACACATCAATAGGAATAGCAACGGTTGCAGGAGGTACCTTAATAGGACTAACTGGTGGTTTAGCAGCTCCATTCATCGGCGTAGGAGTCGGAACAATCTTGGGAGGAGCAAGTGCAGCTGCATTGACAAGTACTGCAGGTGTAGCAATAATAGGTTCAATCTTCGGAGTCGCGGGTGCTGGACTAACCGGCTACAAGATGAACAAGAGAGTAGGAAAAGTTGAAGAATTTAGTTTCGAGCCACTGTCACGCTTTTGTAATACGGACCAGCAGTTGCACGTCGCGATAGCTGTGACAGGTTGGTTGAAGAATCAGGACATCGATAACGTGAGAAAACCCTGGAAGTGTTTGGCTATTTCTCGGGAACAGTACGCGCTGAGATACGAAACCAAGTACTTAGTTGAAATGGGGCAAGCGCTGGAGTACATACTGAGTATGGCGGTGTCATTCGCCACCCAGGAAGCTCTCAAATACACAATACTAGCGGGAATAATGAGCGCAATAGCTTGGCCAGCTGCTTTGCTATCAATTGCTTCAGTGATAGACAATCCTTGGTCTGTTTGCTGTCGCAGAAGTTCTGAGGTTGGTAAGCATCTTGCTCATGTCTTGCTTTCAAGGGAACACGGCAAACGACCAGTTACTTTGATCGGGTACAGTCTTGGTGCCCGGGTTATTTTTTACTGTCTCAGAGAATTGGCTGAGGTCGGAAATGCCGAAGGAATCATTCAAGACGCCATCATGCTAGGCGCTCCGGTGACTGACAAATCAAATCAGTGGGAAAAATGCTCGCGGGTCGTCGCTGGTAAAATTATCAATGGGTACTGCAATACTGATTGGCTTCTTAGATTTTTGTACCGCACTTTGTCCATGGCCACAGGTGTTGCTGGTCTTGCGGAAGTTAAGTGTCCAAGGGTCACCAACATCGACCTCACCAGCATTATTTCTGGACATACTGAGTACTCGGATAAGTTGGTTGAAATAATGGAATTCGTTGGTGTCAGAACCCGGTCTGCTGATGTTCTAGATGACGAAGGCGTCCTGAAAAAGTCTACGTCTGATTACACTGAAATGGGGCGTTCTCGTAAAAGTACTTACAGTAACAAGAAGCTTAGAATCAGAGCTTCGAAATCCGATGAGTGCCTCAATATCCTTCCAATGTGAATATTTTTATATAATTGTTTTTATAGGTGACCGTCTTTTATTTCTCATGCAATAATTAGGGTAGAAGTACCGGTTTTGGTCATCTTAGGACCATTTTTGGCCACTTGAGATTTTAGTTAATTTGTAAAAAATTTAACTATTCAAGTAGAATTTTTATAAAATTTATGAATTAGTAACTTTATACGAATTGAATTCATAAAGTCTTGCGCTTATAAAAATATTTATACAATAATTTGAAATTAATGTGGCCAAAAAAGGTACACTGACCACAAACGATACTTCTACCTTACCTACGACAAAATTTCTCATCAATAATTTCCTATGCAATATTTTCTCATGGCAATAATATCTTATTGCTAATAATTTAGATTATTAATTATATTATTTTATATAAAAATTTTTATTATTTTTAATATTTATATTCAAAAATGTGTCAATGGTATACTTAAATTTGTAATTGACAATAAATAAATATTTATTTATTTTAAATAAAAGGACACAACACGGTAACAAGCTTATGTGTTGGTCTAATGTCGAATAAACACACACAAAAATCATGATAAAAGGGCCGAAAATTATTATCTGAAAATTAATCACGGATCATTTGTTTTAAATGATAATTAATTTTCGTCAAATAAATTTTATTTTGAGAAATTATTCTACTTGAGATATTGTTTTATGGGAAATTTTGACGTGGATAATTTTTGCGGATTAATAAACGTGGAGAGCCGCTTTTATATCGTGTCAACAATGTCTTCTTGGCCTTTGTTAGTGTTAGAATTAGAAAGAGACTAAGTACCTTAATAAGTCCGTCCTCAATAAATTCGTACTTGGGGATTTTGGTATTCTATCGTGATAGTAAATTGCTTTATAGCAAAAACGTAAATGACCAATTTATTCACTTTTTTAAATATAAAGAGAATTAATTAATTATTGTTATTTATTCGAATATTTTAATTTATCCGCTGGCGGTATGCACATTGCGATATATTTATGAAAAATTTTTTACATAATAAACATCACAGTTTTTATTATTAATTGAAAGTATAATAGATTTATTATATATAATATATTACATATATTTTATGTATATTGTTAAAATACTGTATAAAAATTACATTATTCCAATGTATAAAAAAAAAGCTACTGATTTTTTATTTTATAACTTTTATCACAGTATTACATCGATTGTATAATAAATAATCTCTTAAAACGAATTTTTTATGTTATTAATGATTCCCGTGTAGAAAAATGCTAAGAAACTGCTTTTAATGATATTGGTTTTCCTGCAAATAAATAGTGTAAATTTTCTGACAATTACAGAAATCAACTTCAATTACCGTCTTATATATTGCTTATAAAATTTAAACTAATTATATTTATTCTACACCGACTTATAATCATTTAAAATACTCTTCAACCAATACTTCATTGTGTAAAATAATTATTCTGATATTAAAAATAATGATACTGAAATCAAGACAACTAACAGATTTTTTGAATTTTTGTAGCAAATTATTCATGATAGAAAAAATATTTAAAAAATTCTTACTTGCAATTTTTATTAAATTTCATGTGGAATTTTTTAAATAAATGTTTTTCATAATAATTTTTTGTAAAAATCTAAAAAATTTTAGGATGTCTTGATTTAAGTATCATAAAATAAAAAAGCCAGCAGTTTCTTTAAAATAAAATATATAAATACTAATTAAATTATAAAGTAGTTGATGTTACTGCATTAAGCCCATGAACAAGAATAGTAGGCGGTAAATCAGCCGTCAGTTCAGTAAGAATTTGTAGATACTGTTTGTACAATTCATCTTGATTCCAGTTATTAGTAACCGGTGGTTGAGGAAGATACAGAAAAGTAGCAGCTGTTTTAGCAGAACTATCCCGAACCAGTTGATTAACACTCAGAATATAAGTCCTGGCCAAGTTACTCAACTCCTGCGGCGTATCTTGAGAATCAAAACTTCCCGTCTCGATGATAGGTCTTCCCTTCAACCCAGAAAATTGAGCTCCCAGTCCAGGAATTTTCTGTATCGTCGCGCTTATTCTCAGCATATTCAACAACTTCTTCAGACGATATTCCGTAGACGCGCGAGGAAACTCAATGCTAGTTGAGCCCTGGGACTCAGTGATGCTCAAGCTCGCGGAGTTGTCTGACATTTCGCAGTAAAAGACTCTTAACTTCAAATTGCTCCACCCACGCACCATGTTTATAATACAAGCCAACTGCAGCATAAACAGCGAGGTTGTATCAAAGGGATCTTGGTCACTCGGCTGGAAAAAGTTAACCGGCCACACGTCTACAAATTCAACATTAGAATTTTTGTTTATCGACATTTTATCAAGAGTCGAAAAATGCCTGCAGAGACACAAATTCTTCTTCATCCTCAGCACATCAATACACATTCCTACGTACTGATGCGCATCGACAATTTTTCCTTCGTTTTGTCTCAACGGGAAAATCATACCTCCTCCATTTATCCCGCTATTGTCATCGAACATAGCAGTCGCGTACTTTGACTCGTGGAAAAAATCTCTAGGCATTTCGTCATCGTAAAATCCTAGAATAATAGTATTTGGTTTCATAGCACCCATCCCCGAGATACGAATCAAATGCTGCAAGCCTTCTCTCACAGTCTTGGTGATTGTCATTTCAACGAAAGCTTTTACTTTCAGGTGATCAACAAGACTCAGCCACTGCGGGTACTCGTCCAAAGTCGGGTCCAATTTTTGTCCAGTCTGATTAAAGTCTCCAACTTTAACATGTCCTATAACAAACAGCCCGCCTTTCTTCAAATCATTTATAAAGTCTATCAGCGGACATGCCGATCTTGGAGACGCGACCATTAGCAACATCTGCGGTCGCCAAAATTTAACATGATCTTTGCGCGAGTCCAGCATCAACAGGTACTTTCTCACTTGGTGGAATATCAAAGCCTGGGAAATACTGCCCCAGGCTGCATTTTTGCTCGGGGAAAACAAATGTAACACGATTATTAAAATTAAACAGACTATAATACTTATTGAAGCGTAAATACTGTTTATGACGAACATCATTACCAGTGTACCCAGCAAACCAATTGTAGCGGTATGCCAGGTGAAGTAATTGAATGTTGGCCTGAAGTTGGGCGCGCTGGCCAATTCAAGACCCAAGCAGGCGAGATTCGTCGCTAAGTAACTCAGCAAAAACAGTACGGAGTTTATTTGTGCGATAGTATTGAGGGATCCGATCAGCAGGATTATTTGCACGAGACACCAAGAGGTAAAGACGGCAGCTATGGGGTTGCCTTTCCAGGTTCCTCGGCAAATGAAGTTCAGACCGGATCCGAAGATATTGTCTTTGGCGAGAGCTTCCAATACGCGACTGGAGCCGATTAAATTGCTGAGACTGGCGCTGAATGTTGCTGTTAGTATGCCGACGGCAACAAATGGTGGCCAAAGATTTATGGGCATCATGTAGATGAAATTGTTCTGCAGAAGAAATCTGCTTGACGTCGCTGCGGTGAGGATTGAAAGAACGATGTAGCAGATGAATGTGAACAAAACCGCTGACAAAGTCCCCCGAGGAATGTTCACGCTTGGGTTCTTCAGCTCTCCAGACATGTTTGCACCGGCCATTATTCCGGTCACGCCGCTGAAGAGGACACCGAAGACACTGGCAAAGTCTGACATCCTTCCATCGCTCGAGTAGTCGGCGGTGTAATTTGAGTACAAGTTTCCTTGCAAGGTTGTTGCTCGCAGGCCGGTATAAGACGCGTTTAACTGCTCGGTTATGTTTTTGACGAGAGTGTTTGCGTCCGGAATCGGAACATCCATGGGCTCCTGGGTCAGGAAACTGAGGAACACACTGCCCAGGCAGATGCAGACTGTCGCGAAAATCGCAACGCTGGTTTTAGCGAACATTGAAGCGCCGATCAGGCACACTAACAGGTTTGCTGTGTTCAAGACGGTGCAGTAGAGAAATCGCCACCAAGGACTGTCTGGGAAGACTGAGGCGGAGCCGACCAAGTATCCGTTTGGGCCGAAATTTTCTACTATTCCTTCAGCGCAACCTGTGATACACAGGGCGCTTGATACTATGTTTGCCATGAAAAATAATGTTCCGATTGAACCGCCGAATTCTGGACCCAGCGTACGGCTTATCATGACTGAGTTTTTAGTTAAGGAATTTTTTTTTTTGTTTTTCATAACTATTCATTAATGAAATAAAAAAAAACTTATGAATATTAGACATATTAATTTTTTTTTATAAAAAATTTATAAGTTCATTGTTTACGAAAATTTTTTTAAATAGTAATTTTGGTAATTATTTACAACTGAGGTCAATTTTTACGGCGGATTTATGATAAAAAATGTTGTGAAAGAAAAAAATAAAGATTTCGACAGCTTTTTTGACTTCAAAAGTTGGAAAAAATTTTGGCTCTCATGTTTTTGGATAAAATTTCTATTTGATATTTTTGTATCTTATTTTTTTGAAAAGTACATAAAAAAAACAAACAATTAAAAAAAAAAAAAGTTGAATAAAAAAATTTATAAATTTGTTAAAATTGCGATAATCAATATTTTTTTTTTATGTTCATTTTTTTATGTATTTTTCAACAAAAAATATATCAATAAAATCAAATAAAAATTTCGTTCAAAAAAATGAAAATTAAAATGGTTGACCTCACTAGTAAATATTTATCGTAATTTTGAATTTAAATTCAATCATAATTCTTAAAATTACTCTCGAAAGTGGTAAAAGCCATTAAAAATATTTTTTTCTAATTAATTATTATCAACCTTGAATAGTAAATAATATTATAATGTATAAAATTTAATTTTTAACCAGCAGTGCTTTAATAAAAAATTGAATTTATAAAAAATCTTAAACCAAAAAAATAATTTTAAAGAATTTAATTGTTTTGAATTAAATAAAAAAGTTCTTGATTAAAGTAAAGTTAGCTCAAACCCGCAAAAAAAATTTTCTACTTGATTTAAATCACTAAAATTTTTTTAAATGAGTCTCTTGTTTCAGGATTTTTAAAAAATAAAAAAAAAAGGATACAATATGCGCCTCCACCTTCAACAGCTCCATTTGTCGAAATAGCACACACAGATGCTACCGTGAATACTAAAATTCCATAAGCTATCATAAACTGCGTCAACGTTACAAGTAATCCAGCGTTACCCACAATATATCCTGCAAAACAATACTCATTAATGATTAATCATAAAATAAAATAAATTATTAATTGATAAAAATAAGAATAAATTATTAAAAAAAACAATGAATGTCTTACCCATTCGTATAAATATTAAGGCACTGAACATAGACAGAGTAACTGGACTGAATACGCCAGCAAAGGTACCAAGTGTCCGGGTATTGTCAACCCCGAGGCTGCTAAACTCAACATACCCATCCGTCTCAGCGTTCGACGACTTTCCCATTCCAAAAAAACTTCCTAGTCTACGAAAGACACTTCTCCCGTTAATCAAGGGTGCTTTTTCGCTGGATATCCTCACGCTAACTCGATCCGCGTTTGTCGAGCCCGTATCCGGAGCTATCATGGTGAGCTGAAAAATAGTAATGAGTCACTTGGAACTTTATAACTCATTTGAACTTTATTAGATAATCAAAGAAACAAAGAAAGTTTATCTCAGGAAAAGAATAAAAATTTTAATGATAACCTCTTGAGAATAATTAAAATAATTACTCACGTCTTTTATGATGTTGAGTGTCTATGATGAAGTTTTTTATATTTTGACAGTTGAAAAATATGTAGGCAGTTTTTTTTCAATGATAAGTTTGTATTGATGTCATAAAAACGTCATATATGGAATTGTGAATTAAATAGTTTTATGTTTACTCTAAAATGTCAAATAAATACAATAAATATGTTAATAAATTTATCTAGAAGCTATGATGTACATATGTTATTAAAAATACTTACACATACTTGTTTCTTGCTTGTATTTGTATAAAAGTAAAATAATTATGACACTGAAGTTAACTGACTAAAAATTTTTTTAGAATTTTATAAAAATTAAATTATTATGAAAAAATTTAATAAAAAAATTCCATATGCGAAAATTAGAAAAAAATTATTAGGAAAAATTTTTGAAAGTATTTTTATTGTTGTAATTGATTTGTAATAAGAATTATAAAAAAATAAAAAAATTGACAGTTGTCAGCTAACTTCAGGATCATGAAAATAATTATAAATAAAAACTCGCCTTTATTTTTTAATACACGTGCGCTTGATGAAAATTAGCCTTTGACTTGTTTGTCTCAAATCCTCTCAACTCAGAGATGCACTTCATGTGTGTAGTTAGAGGTTATATGTAGTGTGTATAGATGAATTAAGTAATCGAATAAGATTAATGAAAAAGAACTAACAAAAAGCATTAAGGTTCAAGTTGACAAAAGAAAGTTATTAAATAACTATTTGTTATTATATTATCTATTTTATTGAATTTCTTATTATTGTAATTGAACTCTACTATTATTGCGTCCGTGCCAAATATTAAGTTTTATAAAATTATTTTATTCGATATTATTACATTTTAAATTTATTGTAATAATAACTATTATTATTATTGTTGTTGTTATTATTATTATTATTATGGATACTTTTAACGACAATTATAAAAAACGTATGTCTAATACGTACGAAGATGAAGAAGAACGAAAACATTTTCAACGAATTATTTCGGCTTTTAAACATTATAAGTAATTATATTTTTTTTTATTATATGTCTTATTTAATTGTATTATTTTTTATTTTATATAGGTCATAAGTTTATAAAAATTTATACTCCAAATTTTATTTTTTTTTCAGTAATTTTTTTTTATTTGTTGCTGATGAATTAAAAAATCTTGAAAAAAAAAAAAAACTTTAGCTTGTAATCAATAAAAAAAAAAGTTTGTAATTTTTTATTTTTGTTTCTCATTAATTGATAAAAATAATACTTAAGACTTTTTTTTTTTATTAAATTTTTTTTTGTAAAAGTTCATAAAAAATAGAATAATTAAAAAAAAATTTTTTTTCTTGGTAAATGTCAATTTTTTTTGTAGAAAAAATTTTTTTTTTTCAATCAAAAATAGAATAATTCTGAGAAAAATGTTATACTTTTTTTATTTTTTATGCCAAAAGTAAGTGACATTAAAAACAAAAAATTACCATTAAATTTTTAGCCGATACTAAAAATCATATTTTATTTTATAATATATCTACAGCCTTTAAATTAAATTAAATTTTTTTTTTACAGACCGCATTCATTACAACGAGTCCGTAAGACAGAGAATTATTTAGCATCGTTACCTCAGCATCACCAAAAATTGCTTTTAAATTACCGTGAGCATTTGCAACAAGTTAAAGTTCGTATTGAACACAACGCTGAGATAATAAAACTGATAACACGTGGTGCGTCGAGTATTTTTGAAAACGTAAATCCACTTGATGAACACGATAATGTAAGAACAATTTCAATTATACTAGTTTTGTTTAAAATGTTTGATAATTTGTATTATTTATTACTAACATTAATTAAAACCTTTATTTTCATGGATCTTTGTTTAATAGCTTCCTAAAATAATAAAATAACTACAAAAAAAAAAATTTCTGTCACATTGACGTACATAGGTCGGTCTAATTGCAGACATTAAATTCACGGCCAATTCTAGCTGATCAAGAAAAAGTCCAAGCAACTATCAAGCAGCTGATCCGTGATTGGAGCATACAAGGGATTGAAGAAAGAAAAACATGTTACCAGCCAATTATTGATGAAATAATTCATCAATTCCCTTCTGACGAATGGTAAGATTTTTTTTTTTATATAATCAACGCTTACTTAAAATTATAATTATCAATAAATGCTAAAATTAATCTCAATTATTTTAGTGATCCTTCCAAGATAAATGTCCTTGTACCTGGAGCTGGATTAGGGCGACTAGCATACGAAATAGCCAAGCGTGGTTACACTTGTCAAGGAAACGAGTTCTCGTTATTTATGTTGTTTGCTTCATACTTTGTTTTAAATAAGTAATTGCATACCATATGTTTCTATTAACGTGATAATTAATGATTTGAATTTAAAATTATTTTATTGTTTTTTTTTTTTTTTTACAGGTGCAGAGAAGTTAATTCGTTTAAAATTTATCCTTGGGTGCATCAGTATATGAATAATTTATGCTCATCGCATCAGACGCAAGATGTATCATTTCCCGATGTTAATCCAAGCGACTTGCCAGAGAATGCACAATTTTCGATGACTGCTGGAGATTTTTTAGAAGTAATTTTTTCAATTAAAAAATTTTAAACCGCGGTTATAATAACTTGTTAAAAATAACGTAGTGGTCATACTGGGTCTAGTTGACCCCATGCACGGAAAAAATTGTTGCTACTTGCGTTCTTTTCAATATTTTCACTTGAGCCGTACATGAGAGTAATTCTTAACACTTCCATTGAATAACTCAATCGTTTTTTAATTTTTTTTAATTGTTTAATTATAAAAAAAAAATGCGAGAAAGTCAAATTTCGAAAAATTTGACTTTTTTTTTTACTAAAAACTTCATTTTTTAAGATAAATGAAAATGACCTCTGGGGTTCTGCTCCGGATATCGCATACTTTGAAAAAAAAGTGCTGTCGAGCTCTTAAAAAAATATATTGATTTGTGCAATTGAAATCGTAAATTTCCATGAATCTCAAAAAATCTTCAAACAATAATAGATAGTACCACAGATACCATTTTGAATGATATCTTTGAAGCAAGACTTGATATGATATCTTGAATGATATCTTTTGAATGATATCTTCGACTCAAAAATTGCCTCGGGTCATCTAGACCCATAATGACCACTACAGGTTAAGAACGATTTTGATAATTTTGATAATTTAATATCTCAAATAGGTTTATCATGAATACGATCATTGGAATTGCATCGCCACATGTTTCTTCATTGACTGTGCGAATAATGTAGTCCAATTCATTGAAACAATCTACAAAACTTTAAAACCCGGTGGAATTTGGATAAATTTGGGTCCACTTCTCTATCACTTTTCTGACATGCCTAACGAAGATTCAATTGAGCCCAGTTATGAAATCGTTAGACAAGTTATTTTAGGCTTTGGTTTTAAAATCGAGGTATGGCTGCAACTATAATTATTCTAATTTACAGTATATTAAAATATATGTAATTGAATAAAATTAATTAATTTTTTTTTAGAAAGAACAAACGCAAGTTAAAACTCGTTACGCGCAAAATATCAACAGTATGTTGCAATGTGAGTACAACAGCGTGTATTTTGTATGCAGAAAGCCAAATAAGCAGTCAATAATTGATAGCAAAAATGATATGTTAGATATCAATGGACAGTCCGATAACATTAAAATCGATTGTGATAATGATCATTTAAATAACCATGATATTCACGAAGAAGCAATTTAACGTAAATAAATATTTTTTTTTTAAATCTCTTATTAAAAAAATTTTTTTTTTCTATTTAACTTGAAACAGCATAATTTTTTTTTTTTTATTTCAATGAGATTAATGCTTTAGAAATTTTCTTAAGGTCCGAGTAATTATTATGAAAATAATAATTAAAAAATGGTACAAATTAAAAGACAAATTTAATAGCGTAGACAGAAAATTAATTAAATATAAATTGTAATATTTTTTATTAATAAAAATAATAGTGCCTTTATTTATTAAAAATTACGGTAATTGTAGTTTAGACAACTGCTGGGGTCATTAAAATTTTTGCTGAAGTTTTTTTTATAATTTTTAAATTTAGGCGCGTTTGAAAGTTGATAAGAAAAATATTAAAATTAATTTATGTTATCAATTCTTGACTCAAAAATTTAATAAGTTAACTAAAAAATATTAACTTGAAATTTTTGTTATAAATATTTTTTTTCATTAATTTAAAGATCAAATATTTTTTATTAGAAAAAATAATTATTAAACTGCATAATTACTTAGAGTATAAGTAATTGATTAATATCAATTTATAATTGAGTAATGATTAGATAAATATTATAAATGTGAAATTATTTATAATTGTAACTACGAATGTATTAGAATTAGGAGAACTATTAATACTTTGACTGAAACATTGTGACAACAATAATAGATATAAAGTACAATTTTTTTTTTTTAATAATTAAAGTATAATGATAATTTTTTTTACAATAGAATATTAAATAGTTTATAATTGGAAAAGTAATGTGTAATAAAGAAAAATCAAACTATTTGTAATTATAAAATATGTTAAATAATTTTTATTTCGTTGAATTAAAAAATTATCCTAAAGTCAATTAGTAATTCTAATTATTATTAACAATTACATATTTGAGTTGAGGTATTTCACAAATAATAGAGGAATTTGATCCACTTCAACGTGGTGCATTTTGCTGTAAGTTAAAAACTGTCTCCGTAAACGATTTAATTGGCCAGCATTTGTCCCTTGGTCGACTGACAGATTATATCGTGACAGCTTTATGTCACTTGTAATTCCTAATTTTTCAGCGTTAATTATTTCCTGAAAAAAAGGATAATAATTCATCACATTCTTACTTACCAGTACTAATCATAATTTATATAATTAATTGAACAATTCTTACGTTTATAATTTCCTGTGATATCCTATCAAGTTCATACAAGTAATTCGTCGATGAAACTTGTGGCTAGAAAAAAATTATTAAAATATATCAATTGAAAAAAATTTAGATGTCTAGAATCCTTAAAAAGTTTGGAAAATTCAAAAGTGCACGCCTCATAACTTATTTAATTTTTAAGAAACAAAGCATGTTACTAAATTATTTGTATTTTATAGACAATTCAACAAATTGTATTTTCATTGTCAATTCAAATATTTTGCACCAACCCACGCGTGGTTTAACTTAAGGCCATTTTATTCTAGTTTTTTATTAATTACAATTAAATAACACCGAATTATACAGCCATCTGTAATACGATAACGGTTGATGTAATTCTGAAGCTAATAAAAAAAAATCCAGCCTTGAAAAGTCAATTTTTTTGGGAGTTATCGTGATTACGTTCCAAAATTAGCATACAGACATCCGGATGTCCATTAAAAAATTTTTTTTTCAAGTACTTACCCAAGCGTCACAAAAAACTGCTCACTTTTTGGTAAATTTTATTTTACAAGAAGTTAAAAATTAATAATTGTCAACTTAAATTCAACAAAATATTACCGAAAATTTTTGTGCCGCTTGGGTAGTAACATATAAAAATATTTTCGAAAATATGGAATAAAATTAGATGATTATCTTGATATAAGTCTACTTATATTAATATGGTTGTGATAAAGGCATTTTTAGACCACAAAATTGCTTAATTTTTACGTGTTGGCTCTACGTTATAAGGCGTGCAATAAATAATATATATTTATTTTTTGGAAAATAAACTTACTATCTGAGTACTCATATTAGGTTTAGGTGGTTTAACAAGGTACAATGAATTATAAATCTCTTCTAATTGTAATTTGTCTTCTTGCGTTACTGAAAATAATGGAGAATCCCATCTATTTTTACTGTCTGGCATTTCATACCTTAAATAAAAACCAGCCAAATTAATTTCGATATTTATCAATTATACTGAAATTAACAAACATCTGTCAACTTTTTGGATTTTTATAACTAAATTATAATGAAATAATTTAAATAAAAAAATTCAACATTTAAAAATTTTTAAAATTACAAGTGTAATGTTTTTTTTTTTTATTTGTACTAAAAATGAAAAAAGTTGTCAAATGTTTGCTGATTTCAGTATAATTATTTGTCAATAATAACTGAAAAATAATAATTAAATTTTTAAAAAATTACCTCATAACTAGTGCGTCAAAAATTTCTTGTGAATACTTATCACAATCTGGTCGTTGTTCGTTCAATAACCAGGCGCGTTCAACAGGAATATCACAGTAAACAGTACATTGTGGTGTTTTAAATGATTTAGACAAGCAATAAAGTTCATATCGATATCCTTTTATGTAATTACTTCCGTCAAGTATCAGTATGTCGTTTGAATTCAGGAGATGCTGAGTACTGGATCTTATGTTATTTCTTACCGCTTTTTCTTTTTTTGAATCTGTAATAATACTAATTATAATAAATGATCCTGAAGTTAACAGACATTTGTCAATTTTTTTTATCTTCATAACAATTAAATTACTGTGAAAAAATTTTAACAAAAAAATTCCACATCTAGAAATTAAATAAAATTACAAGTGCAAATTTTTTCAAGATAATTTTTTTTTACTGATTATTTATTATTAGTGATAAAAAATAAAACTGACCTGCATAAAATGTATTTTTATCATAACCTGCTTTGACAATAGCCTGAACTTCACTTATGATTTCAACTTTTTTATTCTGAACACTTTCAAAATAATTTTTTAATTCTGTTGCTCGGGTAGTTTTTCCACTGTTCGGTAAACCTGTTAAAATAATTAATGGCATTTTTCTATAAATAAATAAAAAATTAAGAGTTTTAATTGTTAGTAAACTCCACAGGTTAGAGTCAAATATATAAATAAACACGTGTGAACAGTAAGACAGAGTGGTAAAACAGTTTTTAAGTTTCACTCTATTTAAAAGTTTACTGTTTTTTGACAGGTCATTTTTTTTCAAAAATTTGAGATATTGACGTTCTAATTAGCAAATTGTCTAATTTCATTTTAGAGAATCTTCCATTTGAACGATAAAATAATTAGTTAAAAATATATTATCATTTTAAAAAATCATTTAATATCTCTATTAGGAGGTATAATATTTTGGTTTGGATCATTCAAATAATTTATAATTGAACTAATGCTACATCAAAATGTTAAATGAAAATTAATTTAGCAGATATTTGATAATTTTAAGAATTTTTTTAAATAAATAAATTATGGCAAAAAAAAAAAGTAGAAAAAAATTGACATATACCTAGAAATTTAAAAAAATAAAAAATGCTATTTTTTAAAAATAATTTTTTGGAAAAAATTTATTTGTTAAAAATAATTTTTTGGAAAAAATTTATTTGTTAAAAAAAATTAAAAAATGGTTAAGTGATTGCTAACTTTAATGTCATAAATGTTAAAAAAAACCACCCTCTTCAAAATAATGAGTTAGATCAATTGCTAATTAGACTGTCGATATCTTCTTTTTGAAAATTAGATTTTAGTAAATTTATGACAAATAATTATTACAGAATTTTATTGAAAATTTCTTTTAATTTTATTTCATTTGTATTTAATGATATTACATGGTAGAAAATTAAATACCTGCTTGATCTCACAGATCAACTCTTGAAGAAGATATCGTGGTCGAAAATTTCAAAAGATAGTTTCTTATTAATAATTTCTGAACTTTAGAATGAATCGATTTTCTGCATTAAGATTTTTTTTGTCCTTACAAAATCGCTTCGAATGCTGCAAATCACGGCGAAATCTGTTAATTTTATTGAAGGATATCGTTATCAAAAAATGCCGAAAATATTGTTTCCTAAAAATAACTTGAAATTCCTTTTTTTAAACCAATTTTTCAGATTTTTGAGCTTGAGGAATTTGATAAATATTATATGACGTTAAAGTTAGCTGTCACTTGACAGTTTTTTAATTTTATTTAACAAAAAGATTTTTTCCAAAAAATTATTTTTAAAAAATTGCATTTTTTATTTTTTTAAATTTCTAAATGTCAATTTTTTTTCTTATTTTTTTTGGCCATAATTTATTTGTTATAAAATTTTTGAAATTATTAAATATGTGCTACATTTATTTTCATAAATATTATACACTGAGAAAAAAAAGTACTACTCTGGAGATAATTTTCTTGTCACAAGAAAATATATTCTTTATAATTTTCAAGAATATATTTTTTTGTCTCAAAAGAATTGATCGAATTATTTTTTGTTTAATTCAAGTGAACCTATTCGTTTGTTAATCTATCAAAATTAATGCCAATATTTTATTATCATGATAGATATTGATATTCTTTTATCAAAAAACCAAAATTTATTTTAAACGATTCTTGAGCCAAGAAATTTTTTTCTGGACAAAAATTTCTTTTTTCTCAGTGTAGAGCTTGAAGGGCTTTAATATTCGCATATTTTGGGATTTTTAAGCATTAATGACTAAACATAGCGGAAAGTTCCAGGGATGGTCTGCAAAGTCAACCTTATTCCAAATTGTTTATAAACCAATTTTCTCAACCGTGATTTTAATAATTAAATGAGTTTGTTTTATCACCAATGCGATCAATATTTTTTGACTAGTTTTTAAACTAATTCAAGTCAAGATGGAGCATTCCATCTTCGCTAAAAATCGAGACGGGATTGTCTCTTGTTGTTAGGTCGATGGACTCCATCAAACAAGAATACTAGTAAGCTGGAAGTTGTTAGTATCTGTTCGAGGTATAAAGATGTTAATAAACGAAAATCGTCTCTCAGACGACGGAAAAGCATAGTTTCAATACTATTAAGGCTCTGAAAAATGCTATATCATTGTTTGGCCCACCGGCCCGTATAATTGCAGATTAAGATAGATGTTTCACAAGTAAAGAATTTCAAGAGTATTGTACCTCACAAAATTCAAAATTACATCTTATATCTATGGATTCAAGTCAGGCTAATGGCCAGGTAGAATGCGTAATGAGTACCCTCAAAAGTATATTTACTGCAGCCGAAACGAGTGGAAACTCTTGGCAAGCAGTTGTAAACAAAATTCAATTAGAAATTAGTTGCACTACTAATTGAGTTATTAAAGCTAGTCCGTTAGAATTGCTAATTGGTACAGTAGCTAGATCTTTTGGTATGATAGTTGATCAAAACGATAAAGAAATTGATATCTCTGACGTACGATAAGAAGCGATTGATAACACAGAAGTTAATGCAAAATATGATAAGTTTAGATTTGATCAGAATAAAGAAAATATAGTTCAATTTAAAGTAAAAGATTTTCTATTAATTAAAAATGAAGAAAGAAACCAAACAAAGCTTGATCCGAAGTTCAGAGGTCCATTTGTGGTGATCGAAATTCTCGACAGTAATCGTTATGCTTTAAATTCTTTAACAGGTAGTAGAACATATAAATATTGTTATGAAAGCTTGAGAAAAATGCCTGAATTTCATATTCCTATTGAATTGGGTTTATTAGATGATAATGAAAGCGATGAGCATGAAGTTTTTCAGAAGGACTCTGAGACAGAGTCAGAAACCACCGGGGGAAGACTAGGCACTAATGGTAGTTGTTGAAAGTTGCACCACTTGCATTAGGCTGTAGGTCATAATGGCAAATCAAGGTTGGTTTGGCCAGAGTATGATGGGCAGTAGATGATGTGGTGGCAATATAATAAGAAAAGATTTTTCTGGAGGTCGCACCACTTGCTCCAAGCTGTAGGTCGTACAAGCAAATCTAGAGTGATTTGGCTAGAGTACGATAGGCCAGTTGGTGAAGTGGCGGGGACCAAAGAAGTTGTTGGCCGCACTACTTGCGCCAGTCTGTAGTCGCAACTGCAAACTCGGAGTAGTTTGAATCAATTTTGCTTGTCAAAATTGTCAGGGCGCGAAGGGCAGCTGGTGAAGTGGCGGGGGCCAGAGATGGTTTTAAGCTGCACTACATGTGTCATATGGGTTTGACAATGTGGCGGGGGCTTGAGGTGTACATAGTTGGATTACTATGTGGGTACACAGTTTTGCTGTATGAAGTATACAGTTGCAGACCATTGTGAGTGCTAAGGGTCTATACCTGGGGTGGTGGTGAATATAGCTTGCATGTTATCGCTGGAATAGACAATCATAGAAATTTTGAAAAGATATCCTCAAGAAAACTAATTTTATTAGATTTGATAGTCGAAAGTTTTTGTCACTTGAATTAGCCTCTGAACAAGGAAAAGTTATTTCTTCAAAAAAAAAAAAAAAAAAAATATGACATGGCTTGTAGTAAAATATTTAGAGATGCACCCGAGGACGTGTAATCGTCAGGTTGGCCGTGTCGGAGATAATATCGAGCTGGGTTTTCCCAGAGATAGGAAATTCCCAATATTTTAGTTTGTCTGTTAGCTTTAAGCAAAATTGTAAAGCATAGAATATTTAATAATTTTTATAACTTAAGCCGATTATAATTTTTATGGTTATGGCGATGGGCTTGAGTCCGGAGTGACAATGGTCACCAAACGTAGCCGAGGTCACAGGATAAAAGTAAAAAGTATACAGTTAAACATATCGACAGACAATGAGGGCTGTCGAAATATTTTTGAGTGAAGAAGTACTTAGAGTACTTAGAAAAGTAGTTCTCGTTGAGCATTGATCAAGTAAAGATCGCATACATCCTGCTGACCCCGGATTCGTTCTCGGTCTTATTCCCCAGCGCTTTTACCTTGTATATTAATTATATTTGGATAATTAATCGTAGTATTGTTTATACAAGTTGGCGTACTTAATTATTCTAAATTAATAAATAATGAACAAACGAATCCAATGGACTGTACTAACGCCCCTAATAATGCTTTTCCGACATGTTTCTCTCAGGCAGACGTGATAGAGAGATATATAAAGCAGATTCTCACTAAATTTCAAAGGAATCGGTGGGGTAGAACTTGAGATATCATGTTAACCACTTCAAAAAAAGTAGTTTCGAGAAAATTGCGTTTAAAGTTTGAGAAACAATTTCAATAAAATAACTCATAATAATATTCAATATTCACTTTGGATTAATCGCGAATCCCAGATCCATAAATTGGGGCTTCTTCTACTTCCTACTCGATGTTTTGCGAAGTTGATTCAAAAAATAAAATCTTGAGTAAAAAAATTCTTGCACTCAAAAATTGTTCTTAGTTTAGGTAAATTTGACTTTCAAGAATTTTTCTGCTTTATTTAAGACAGTTAAGCTCTTCAAAATAATTTTCTTGGGTTAAAATATTATTAATTGTATCATGTAAATTTTTGATCAGTCAAATTTTCCGCTCAAAACTCTTTTTTCATTTTGCAAAGTAAATTTAATATTTCAACACTTTTATCTTGCGATTAAAATTTCTAAAAGCTGCCCTAAATACTTAACACGTAGCAGAGAGGGTCTGTTTATCTAAACCAGCGGAAGTTTCAATAAATAAAAACCAATTGCTCTCAATTGTTACATAAATTTATCACCAAATTTTAATCCTCAAAAATCTTCTAATATTTCCAAAAAACGATTAATACTTTTTTAAAATCCAAGTAAACAACTTCGCCAAGGATATTTTGAAAAGAGAAAGTACTGAACGTAACATTTTTTTTTTTTTCCCCAGCATAACAGGTCTTTCTCCCTCTTCTCTTCTCAGGAACAGTCAATTCAATTCATTATCGTGAGTTGAGTCTACTGAACTCCGTTATCCCGTAAAATTTATACACAACTCATCACAACGCCAATGAAAATAAGTTCGTAGATGTTTATTAACATGAAAATTTCTTCTCAATGATAAAAATAAATCCTCACATGTGATAA